TTGATGCTTTTGAGTTATGGTGTTGGAGGAGAATACTGAAAGTGCCATGGGCTGCCAAAAGAACCAATAGATCCATTTTGGAAGAAGTGCAACCAGAGGTGCTCCGTGGAGGCTAGGATGGCCAGGCTTCGTCTTTCATACTTTGGACATGTTGTCAGAGGGACCAGTCGCTGGAGTAGAATATCATGTCTGGTAAGGTGGAGGGTCAGAGAAAAAGAGGGAGACCCCCCATGAGATGGATTGGCCAAGTGGCAGCATCAGTGGACTCAAAACGGTAGTGAGGTTGACCCAGGATCAGGCAGTGTTTTGTTCTGCTGTGCATAGGGTCACTATGAGTTGGTACCGACTCAATGGCACCTAACAACAACAACTTGGCATCTGTACCTTGATTAATCTGTTCACTTTTTTTTTTATTTCTGTCTTTCTATCCTTGGGTTAATTTTCTTCCAGAAAGTTTCTTGTGATGTGTAGTTGGTTGACTTCCAGCCTTACTTACTTTTTTTTAGTATACACATTCAAAAAGCAAAAACCAACCCACTGTTGTCAAGTCAGTTCCAACTTTTAGAGACCCTACAGGGCAAAGTAGAACTGCTCCATAGGACTTCTGAGACGGTACATTTTTATGCGATGTACCATCTTTCAGTCTCATCTTTCTCCTGCGATTAATGGATTGCAACTGCAGACCTTGCAGTTAACAACTCCATGCTTAACCCACTGTGCCACAAGGGATCCTTATATACATTCAAGGCTACAGAATTATCTCTGATGGTTTTAGCTACATCCCCAAAATTCTGATATGTAGCAATTTCATTAACATTCATTCACAATGTTTTGCAGTTTTCACTGTGTTTGTTTCCTTTTTTATAGTAAACCTAGTTATCGATTTTCTCATTACCATTTTATTAGTTAAATTGCACTGTGGTAAGATAAGGAATTTTGTATAATTTCAGCTCTTTGAGATATATCAATCTCTATGTCAGTCTCTGAAACTGTACCTTGTCAGCTTGAACTGAATCTGTTTCTTTCCATTCACTTCGCCTGTATTACCCTTATTTCTCTTCTGAACTAATGCAGGATTCTTCTAACAGGTATGCTTAAATCAGTGACTCACTTCAAATCCAATCTTCAATGAAATCATTCTTGGGAAAAGTTCATAATCCTTAATGTGGTCATCAAGGCCCTGCATGGTCTACCCTCTTGAGTACCTGTCTAAGCTTACCACTCCCAGTCACATGGAACCCTCCTTAAGTTCATGTACTCTACCAATCCACTAGGCAGCTTTGCTAATCCTGTTTTGGGATCTTCTTTACCTTTACTAATTTTGTGTGTGTGTTTGTGC